CATGTTTGCTAGGCCATTTCAGGAGTAGCTGCCCTGAGCAGGAGAAGACCTTCCCCAATGCCTGGCAGAGCACCTTTCTCTATGCTCTGGCACAGGTCAGGTCTGCAGCAGCCCTGCAGCACAACCCAACCACCCCACTCACTTCTTCTCTTGAAAGGGCCCCTTCTCTGGATAGCAGAGGATGATCCACATGTCCATCCTCCTCTTACTGGCTCTGAGAGCCTCTAGCAAGACTCCACCAAGCCAAGTGACAGCTGTGTGTTCTACACACCTACTTCTTCCCTGGGGATGACTTACAGCATGAAGCATTCCGCAACACGCTCCGAGTGGAGCATGCCCGTCCCTGCACCTCCCTGGCTGCTCCTCCTCTCCCAGCACAGCCAGGGATAGGGAGCTGCCTCGGGATGAGAGGGATGGAAACCCACAGGCTTCTTCCTCCCAGCCAGGGAGCCTCCCTGCCGCCTACCTGACTCCAGCCCAGAAAGACAAGCTACATCTCTGACAGCTCTGCACCGCTCCAGGGAAGGGATAAGCACTCACAGCCCGTTTGTCACACTTGGAAGCAAATCAGACAGACAGAGCTCCACTCCACTTGTCCTCCCATTTTGTTAAACAAGGGCTGGGAGGCCATGGCATGTCTCCTCGCCAAGGAAAGCAGCAGACAGTTTTTCAGCTGAGCGCAAGCGGTGCGCAGGCGGGGGAGCAGCGCAGAGCGGCTCACTGCAGCGACAGACACAAACCCATCTCGTGATTAGTTATTGACTCCAGAGGAGTTGGAGCTCCAGCAGCAAGCCAGCCAGGAGAGCAAAAATCCCTCTTTTGTTCCCCAGCCTCAGACAGACTTGGCCACACAGCTCCCCGCTAGCTCGCTTCACACAATGAAAAAAGAAAGTTAATCCAGCTCCCCTACAGCAGGAGCCATCCAGCCTGAGGGAGTGATGCTGTGGAGCCATCCGTGAGCATTCCTGGGCCTGGCCTCATCCTGGCACCCACCATTGCTGGTGGATACCAGACAGCTCGAGGACCTCATGGGACATTGCCAGGATCACCAGGGACAGTGCCCTCCAAACTCCCAGGCCTCGTTCAGCTCTGCAGGCACACGCTCCCTCCCCACAATGCACCCCAAAACAGGGACCAGCAATGGGGTCCCTTCTGCCCCACTGGTGAGTAGGTGACCCATGCTGCCAGCACAGGGATTTCCAATCCTCCTTTACACACAAACTTCTGACTCAGGAGAAAGCCAGACCACTATGCAGGGACCGAATCCACCTTTTCCCCAGCACTTTCCCAAGCCACAGCCTTCCTGCAAGAACAATGTTTTCCACTGTACCAGAGGTCAAGTGCTAGGAGAATTGTGGCCAACCAAGTCCTTTGGTGTCATCCCTTCCCCTCAGGAAGGGCACAGGTTACACACATGTCAGAACAACCAACCCCAAATTTCTCCCTAATGCCCTTCTAGGCAACAGAAGTTACCTTTTAATTTGGACATCTGACCCAGAATTTCAGAGCCCTGCTCTTCATTCCCCTTCACCACCAGCTTTCTCTGTCCTCCACATGAGAAGTGAGAATATTTACTACATTTAAGATCAGAAAATTGTGATTCATGGGCTCTCTGCTCTGTGGAAATGGGAATTATGTATGTGTATTTCTAGAGCATGAACAAACACAGGCACTTGTGTCTAGAGCTTTGTAGTTCAAGGGAGTGATTTTAAAGTCAACTTATCCCTGCATAAACCTGGACAGCCAAATAACAGAGTGGAGAATAGCAAAGTGCTGAAATCTGTTCCGGAAAGCACTTGCTGTTTCTTTGCTCTTGGTGGCCTGGCAGAGAGGGCTGTTATTTTAACATTACGCTTGTTGAAGCCTCACTGAATGGCAGGCATGACCAAAATAATCCACATGGGCCCTGGAAGACACAGAGTTGAGAGGAAAGTGCTCCAGCATCTCCAGGCAGCACAAGCCTTTGTTCCCACATGCTCCTGCCGGCAACCAGGACCGCCTGCCCTGCTCCAAATGAACTGGCTTCCTCCTCCTTCCCCACAAATTAACTCCATCTCCAGCTGTCCCTGCGCAAGCTTCCTGTAAGATTAATTATTCTTTGTACACACACGTTTGATGATTTACCCAGCAAACCAGGCACAATGATCAGGAATTCTCCATTTCCATCAGCGCTCTCCCCTGAGGCTCAGAAGTTTTCTGGGCAGGTCCCTCACCCTGGCACAGGCACAGGAAGAAGTGTGGCTCCTCAGAAGATCCACGTGAGTCACCAAGGACCAGTCAGTATTTGTGATGCTGCTGCAAGGTCAGCTGAAGAAGATGTGCTCCAGAACAGCCCTCAGTGTGCCAGTCTGCAGGGCTGGCACTGACGCCAGTCTAAGTGGGAACATTAATGATCCCAAAAAGGTGTGTCCCCAGCTACGCTGTCCCATGACCCAAGATTTCTCCCGTGTTTAGCAAGGCACAACGAGCTGTGTTTGTTTGCACTGTCACCTTTCAGAAGGTGCAATTTGCAAGAGCCAGAAGTTACCCTGTGAGGAGTCACCTCCAGGCTGGTTCCGGCTGTGATCTCACACACCACAGCACCGAGAAGTCACCGCGCCAGACTTGCCTGGCCCAGGAAATGGAAAGCACCAAATCGTGGTGCTGAGGGCCAGACCTGCCAGGGGTGAGACTTTGTGTCTTCTCCTGGAAGCAGTTTATTAGCCTGGAAAGTCACACTTGGCCACAGAAGGTGTGTGGGGGCATATACAATGTACAATGAGTTGATTCCACACAGCTCTCCTCACAGCCCAGTCGGAATCCAGAGGATGTCTGATCCCTCCAGTGCTGAGCCCACAGAACTCAACAGGGCTCACAAGTCTCTTTAAGATCTCTTTTGCTGTTACAGCAAAAGGATGTTTCAAGCAGCTACAGGAACCTCTTCCCCTGAGGGTGGGACATTTCCTTCATCCAGGAAGAAGGAGAGGGTGCCCAAGAGATCAAGTATGGAAGGTTTAAGCACCAGCAGGAGGGAGAACATACAGCAAAGAGTCACCTCGTGCTTGGCAGAAGTTGGTTTCACATCCAAATGTGACTTAACTGGGTGAGTTCTGACACCAGTAATGGAAAGTTTCTAGCCCAGCTCATGAAGCCACTGTACATGAAACAGCCTAGAAGAGCTGCTCAGTGATCTCAGCACAACAGAAGCATCAATCACACGGAGCCCACCTCAGATTTTGGCTCAATGCTTCTGACAGCTTTCCTAGAGCTCAGCTGCCCCAGCTCTTACCAAAATCCCTGCACTAGCCCCAAACACCAGATCCCACAGCAAAACCCCTCTTGAGTTCAGGACCTGTACTTAACACCAGCCTCTGATGCTTCTCAGAATCAAGGCAATAAGGAAGCAGAAAGGAGGTCTAGAACAAAGAGACACCTTTCTCCTTCCCTACAACCACACCAGGAAGCAGAGGAGAGCTGGTGTAGAATAGAACCTGGCAGATCCTCCCCAAATGGGAGTTGTAGAGGCAGCAGCAAGTAGCTTTGGCCAGCTGGCAGCACAAAGGGCCAGCACACCAAACCCTCCAAGGCCAAACTCTTGTCCCTCCCAATAAGCACCTTCAGGAATGGGTGGAAGTCAATGGGATGGGCCGAGGAGGGAAGTCAGCCAGACTTCATTAGGAACATCTTTGCTGGAAGTGCATCCGAGAGTATTCTCCAAGGAGATAAACGCTGGATCTGCAACTGTTTTGCTCTGACAGGAGTTAAACAGGCTACAAGTTTACACTTGTCCTAGATACTTTTTTTTTCCACAAGAAGCTTCCAAAAGCTATTGCAGACAACTGGGAGAGGTGTTCTCAAAAGCAAGGCACCGGCAGGCAGAGGCACCATCATCCAGGCTGACAGCTCTTGAACAGAGACTTCACATTTTATGTTACTTGGTCTTTTTTCCCCCCTCCAATAATTTGTTACAAAGGAAGCAGCATGCACACACGAGAAGCAAGCAAGACCTCAGGGAAAACAGCAAATTGGTTCACATTTCCACAGCACTGAGCACAAAGCTGACTTGCAAATGCGAATGACTTCTCTCAGGCGGGGGAGGAAGCTCCCAGTTCGGATGATCCGAGCCCAACCAGCTCATTTCCCTGCAGTCCAGCCCCATCCCTCTGCTCCGACGGACTGCACCAGCCACGAGCATGGCCTGAGCCTTGCGTGGAGCAACAACTCCTGCTCCAGACCACTGCTGCCCACAGGGCACTTTCTGCCTGGCACTCACAGGACCTCGTACACACCGCGGACATCTCCCACACTCGCAGAGCCACAACTCAAATGCCCGAGTTCATTCGAGATGTTACAACACGGCTGCTGCGAGCCGGTGGGTGGGTGCCGCTCCTGCCAGGACACAGCATCGCCCATCTCCTCCCTCCTGCCGAGGCACGGCTGCTGCCCACCGGGACACGGCATCGCCCACCTCCGCCCAGTGCCCTCCCTAACACATTCGGGTCCGTCCGACCCAGGGGCACCGGGCTCGGGCTGCGGGGGCTGTGCCGGGGCGATGCCGGCAGCCCTGGGAAGCCGCAGGACTCCGGGAAAGCCGAACGAGACGGGCGAGCCCCTCCGGGAAAGCCGAACGAGACGGGCGAGCCCCTCCACCTCCTCCCGCTGCCACCCTGGGCACCCGCCAGCACCGGAGGCTGCCGGGGCACAGCCCCGCGCTGGGGCGTTTTGGGAAGGGGGTTGGGAGGATGTTTCCTTATTTATGGGATAGGAGCAAAAAGTAAGAGGAGGAAGCGGAGGAAGGAGGAAATAATCCAGCAGGTTGCTCCCATCAGCCCCTCCCGGCCGCCGCATGGCAGCGGGGGCAGCAGCGATGGGGCAGCTCCGGAGCCGCCGGTCCCCAGAGCCGGGGAAGGGACCCCGGCCGCTCCCCGGGGCGCCCCGCGGGCCAGGGCAGCCCGTGAACCCTCCCCGGGATATCCGCCCCGCCGTGCGGCCCCGCGGGGCACGGCAGGCCGCGGGCTCACCTCGGTACTGCAGCGAGCCCGAGAGCCGCACGGTGACGGTGCCGGCCAGCGGCTCGCCGGGGCTGTAGACGACGCGGCTGTCGCCCAGGCGGATCTCGAAGAGCTGCACTTTGCCCATGGCCGCGCCGGCCCGGCCGCTCTCCTCCGCTCCGCTCCGCTCGTACCTGCGGCCCGCGCTGTGCCTGCCCCGGCGGGCGGGACCGCCCCGGCCCGCCCCGCCCCGGCCGCGCTGAGGGAGCGGGGCGGGCCCGAGGCGCCGGGCCGCGAGCTACGAGCAGGGGCTGCTGGTGGGTCTCAGTGCCGAGGGAAGGGGGCAATTGTGCGGCCAGGCTGAGCAAAAGGAGCAGGCTGTGAGAGAAGGGGTCGCTGATGGATCCCTCCTTGCTGTAGGGTCAGGCTATAGCTGATGTAGCCCTGACTGCTATAAGGGAAGGAGCTGTGGAGGAAAGGGCAGCTTAAGGGGTTGGGCTGTGCTGGGAGGGAAGGGATTGCCTGTGGGGTCAGGCTGGGAGGGAAGGAGCAGATTGTGGGGCTGAGCTGTGAGGGAAAGAGAACTGATGGATCCCTGACTGCTCTGAGGGAATGAGCAGGTTGTGGGGTCAGGCTGTGAGGGAAGGAACCACAGTGGGGCTGGCTCTGAGGGAGAGGAGTGGTTGGGTCAGGCTGTGAGGGAAAGGAGTGGTTGTGGGGTCGGGCTGTGAGGGAAAGGAGTGGTTGTGGGGTCGGGCCCTGAGGGAAAGGAGTGGTTGTGGGGTCGGGCCCTGAGGGAAAGGAGTGGTTGGGTCAGGCTCTGAGGGAAAGGAGTGGTTGTGGGGTCGGGTTCTGAGGGAAATGAGTGGTTGTGGGGTCGGGTTCTGAGGGAAAGAAGTGGTTGTGGGGTCGGGCCCTGAGGGAAAGGAGTGGTTGTGGGGTCAGGCCCTGAGGGAAAGGAGTGGTTGAGGGGTCGGTTTCTGAGGGAAAGGAGTGGTTGTGGGGTCGGGCCCTGAGGGTAGGAACTGACTGCCCAACACAGGGACCATCTTGCCTCCTGGTGATCCCTGCTCCCTCTAATCTCATTTCCTCCCTGTAATTCTCCAGCCCCAGCTGTCACCTCTCCCTGCTCCTGTTTGTATAACCCCAGTTGCTTGAAGTGTCCAGTAAGAGGCAAATACAAGGGACCTGACAACTAACTGGAACTCGGGCTGAGGAGTCACTGATGACCCCGTACTCTCTGTGGATCAGTGGGTGAAGGTCAGGGTGTTCCAGGAAGCCAGGCATGACCAGCACACTTCATACATTTGCCATGTTCCCCCCTCATCTCTGCCTATTGAATAAAAACCATCTGTAAAACCCACACCAAAGGCACCTCCCGGCTGCTGGCGAGCAGGCTGTGTACACAGGCAGAATGAATAAGTGTAAAAGGAGCTGTTTATCTGCAGAGCACACCCAGCCTGGACCTGGCTGGACAGACAGACGTCCTCCCACGGCCCCACAGTGACACCAGCCTGGATATGTGGGGCTGTGGGACTCTCTGTGCTGCCTTGTGGGGGCTGTGGCAACCTGAAACCCCTCACAGGGCACCAAAGGAGTTCGTGTGCCCCGGACACACAGGGCTCCTGCTGAGAAGCCTTTCCAGGCCCTCCCTCCTCCCCTGCTTAAGAGCTACCTCTGGTTTCCAGGCTGCGTGTAGTCACAGGCTACAGACACACAACAGTCTTGTGCCAAGGCTTTCTGCAGCTCATCTCCTCCCGCAGGGCGTACCCTGGGATCCGTCCGCACACCGCTCTCCTTGTGCTGCCCTTAGCTTCTGTTTTCCCAGGCTAGGCACGCCAATTTGCTCCAGCCTTTTTATTTTGTAAGACGAGCCTGCAGCCTCTTTCATCAGTCTCTGCAGCCCCTATTTAGCTCTGCCAGCAAAACCAAACAAATTAGGAGAAGAGAGGGGGGTTGAAAACACCCTGAGCTACAGCAGATTTTACTGAACCCTTTTTCCCCATGGAAAGTGGCCAAAGGATCATGCTTTGAGGCACAATTTGGGCCACCTCATCTCTGGGGCAGCACTGGCACCCTTGCTCAAGAGGGACACCACACATGTGACAACTCAGGGTGGAAAAACCCTTCACCAAACCCGAGCCCCTCGTGCCATGCTGCAGCTTCACCTGACGTGGAGATTTATGCGCTTTGTTTGCAGAGAAGATAATTTTAAGCACAGCAAAGTTGCTCGCCCAAGGTCACGATGTGAGTAAAAAGGATTCCTGCACCAGGAGCTGAACAAAAGCAGCCAGGCACAGCTACAGTTCTGCAAGGATTTGTGCTAAGATACACAGAGTCCCTCATCATGCCATGGCCAGCAGCAATGCCACAGGACAGCTCCATACCCTGGATCACAGCTACACCGAGTAGAGCAGTCTGTAAAATGTAACTGGATGGATATAATTGAAGCATGGAGAAGAAAAGGCTTCAGGGAGACTCCATTACAGCCTTCTAATATCTTAAGAAGGCTTTAAAAATGGAAAGAGAGGGACTTTTTATATGGTTAGATAGTGACAAGACAAGGGGCAGGGTTAGATTGTATGTCAGGAAGAAAAATCCTTCTTAGAGGGAGGTGAGGCCCTGGCACAGGTTCCCCAGAGGAGCTGTGGCTGCCCCTGGATTTCTGGAATTGTCCAAGGCCAGGCTGGACAGAGATTGAAACATCCTAGGATATAGTGTAAGGTGTCCCTGCCCGTGGCAGGGGGTGCAATGAGATGATTTTAAGTTCCCAAACCAGTCTGTGACTCTATAATTCAATGTATACAATACCTGCAGTGCCAGGGCGCCCATCATTGCCCCAGTGATGCCATATTCAGGAGGATTTTACTCACTGCAGTCAAAACCTGTATTTACATTCCTGCCTCCCTGCTCACCCCAGAGCCATTCCTCTTATCTACTTGTGTGAGGACTCATTGGAGTTAAAACTCAGAGCAGTTAAAAAAAAAAAAAAAAGTAAGCTAAGGATGTTTAGTAAACTGCCACAGTTTGCTTTCTGATATTTTTGACTATTGTTTTGCTTTAAAAAAAATGTTTTGAAGAGTTTTGTTGTGGTGTTGGGAAATCTCACTTCCTCTGCATTCTGTGTGCTCTCCCTGCTTCCCTTCCCCCTTATTAAAAGGGAAATTTAAAAAGAGAGAAGAAAAATATCAAGACAAGCTCTAGAATAAAATTTTCCTTTCAGATGTCACCACATTCCCCTAACTTCAAGGAACATTAAATTTTCTGACAAAGAATATAGTAGTTATTAAAAGGAAAAAAATTATCAATAAACCCCCTCTCACAGCACCTGAGCCGGGCTTTGCCAGCAGCACAGACGAGCTGGAAGCACAGGGCTGGGAGAGCAGCTGTGAGTGGTGTCACATGTGGGAAAAATGTACCCACGGAGGGCTCAGCTGTGGCCGCAAGTGCGAGACACACAAGCCTCCACCATTAAGTCACAGACATTGCTTGTCACTTCAATTTGTTCCCCTCTTGTCTTTCCAGGAGTTTCCAGATGTGTGCGCTGACACGGAGGAGGCGCAGCCCCACCTGACCGTGCCTCAGTTTCCCCCGCGGTGGGGCTGCTCAGGCAGAGGCAGCGCGGAAATGCCTGGGCATCCCTGGGAAATGCCTGGGCATACCTGGGCCGTGACTGATGCTGAGTTAACCCGGGAGAGCGGCTGGCGAGGCAGCAGCAGCAGCAGCACGGCACCCCTGGGGCACTTTGTACCTCCAGGTAATTTCCACCCGCTCCGCGCCCCGTGGCTGCAGGGGAGAGGGGCGAGCCTGGCAGGTGCTGCCCGGCACCGGGGGGGACACCCAGAGCCTCTCCTGCTCTCTTGTTACAAGATGAGTCTGTCTCTCCGCCCTCAAACTCTCTTCTTTTGCGTTTACTTGCGTGAGCCCACCCCACCCCATAAGGGCAGGCACCGGAGGGGGAAGTAAAGCAGCAGAGCTTTGTGGAAGTTGACCTTTAGGTTTCTAAAGTTTCCCTTGAACGAAAATACACAGATGTGAACTGTCGTGTTGGGCTCCCCGCGCTACCTACGCCACTGACAGCCATCCTGTATTCCTGTGTACATAAAATCCATTACCTTAATATATTTATATTACACAGGTTTATTACCTTTCTAAATAATTTCCCTGCTTCACTCAGTGCCTCACTGCTTCTCAGCTGATTTGCTGGTGGGTAAACTACGTCATCTGATACCAACAGCAACAACAATTACTCATTTGTTTCAGGCTGACACCTTCCAGCAGTTCAGGCAGAGGTGGTACCGTTCAGCCACACCTCCCTGCACACCGCCTCTCTCCTCGCAGGAGGCCACAGCCAAAGTCCCCTGTCCCCCTTCTGTGGGTTCATCTGCAAGGCAGCTCCCAGGCAGCTTCCCCAAGGGTGGAGCTGGATGTCCCACCAGTGGTGTACAAATCTCTGGGATCAACACATGATAGAATTATAGAGTGGTTTGGGTTGGAAGGGACCTTAAAGACCACCTCATTCCTCCCCCAGCCATGGGCAGGGACGCCTTCCTCCAGACCAGGTTACTCCGAGCCGTGCTCAACCTGGCCTTGGACACTTCCAGGGATGGGGCAGCCACGGCTGCTCTGACACAATGTCCTGGGACTCTGCAGCAGCTCCCCACTGCTGCTGGAGCTCCACCAGCCTATTGGTCTCACCAAGCCTCCCAGACACGAGGGCCACCAGCCCACCACAGCCCAACCCCGGGAGGATGAGAGCAGGAAGCAATCAGAAACCACCCTCAGTGCAGAGCCAGGAGGCAGCACTGCTCAGGCGCTCTGCAGGGAGGCCAGGAATCTGCTTTGAGCTCAGTCCCACAGATGCCTCACCAACCTGTACCCTGAGACTGTGCCCCAGGCCTCACCCAAAGAGTAAGAAAGAGGCTGAAGCGTGAGTGGCTCTAACAGCATAACAAATAGCATTGGCTTACCGTCACACTGAGTGCCTGATGATGGAGTAACTTGGCTGAGACACCACCAGAGGGACTGCCCTTCACCAGGCTAGAGAAACCCTGCCATACTCCCCCAGCAGTTTGTTTCCACTGCTTATCCCCTTTGTGCTGGCATGCACACCTGCCCTTCAGGCCAGCTTGGGCAGCTTCAGCCTTTGCTTCTTGTTCTGCTGCTCTCTGATGTTAATGAGTCCTTTGGTGCCACATCCTTTCCCCTTGTGACAGTGTTTACACACTGGAATAA